TTTTTGGTAGCCATTCCTAGAAGATCCTAAACACTTGAAGGATTACTGACCAAGTTAAATCACTTTTAGGGGAGACATGCTACTTGGACCCAGGAGGGTGTATCTTACTTGGTGGTGAGGATAGAAAAAGATTCAGATAACTATGAGGGAGAAATACATGATTATTAAATATAGTTCATTCCAGGAGACTTATAGTCCTAGATTTTAAAAACAGTGTTATAGAAAATGATTTTTCCTACATAGATTTTGTTTTTAATTCTATTACAGACAGGATGTTTGTTGGATGTACCAGTGGTCTGACCGAATACGGGCTTGGAAGTTTGTTTACATCCTTAAACTCACAGAATTTAAGTATGCAAATGGCTTTATGTTACTATTGGATGATACCTATCAGATTCCCTTCCCTTTGGTGGGCTTCTTCATCATTTCTTTATACTGTAACCTCCTCAAACCACCATTCTCACTGGATTCACCCGACTCCATGTTCTATTTCCTGTCAACCAATTGTTTCTATTAAGGCATGCATAGCAATTATTTGTTTGTAAGCAGCTTTTTCCCTTTACACTTGAAGCTACGGAAAGGCAGGAAACGGTATCTCTTACTGCATGTCTCCCAGTGCCTAACTCAGAGCCTGATTTACACTAGGCATTTAATGAAGATTAGCAAAGAAGCCCCAAATCTCAGTGGCTGCAGACAATCTTGGGTTGACAAGGACCTTGTTTCATGTTGTCCTCATTCAGGAGTGTGGACTAACAAAGCCTCCGCAAGCCTGGATGGAGGCTAGTTATCTTGGCAAGGGAGTGGGAAATGCTGAATCATGCTCTGACTCATGATGCTTCAGCTTGGAACTGGCAAGTTACTTTCTCTCATATTTCATTGATCAAAGCAAGGTACCTAGCCACACCTAACCTCACAGAGATGAAGAAGAGCAACCTTACTATGTTCCTGAAAGGAGAAGAACTGGAATATTAGTGAGTAACACTAATGCCTGCTAAATAAATATCCGATGAACAGTAGGCATGGATTTAATGAATGAAGTACCTAAAACTACCCATTGAGATTTTTTATTTTTTCCCTATACAATAAACAGAACTACTCAGATATGGAAGTAATGTAGCTACATTCTAAAATACACAAATATTATTATTATCTAAGCTATTATTCAGCAAACATCTAGAGACTTTTTTTTTTAATAACAATTCTGTTGGCTTTATTCATATCAGGGAAGTGTTATGTTTGATTTTTTTAGTGTTTCAGATGCATAAAGGGTGGAACAGATAAATTAATGATTAATGTTTTTGCCAGTCATTTAGAAGAGTTAGAAAAATGTTGCAGTCTTCGATATTTATATATTAAATTAGTCTGATCAGGAAGTTCTTTAAAGTAATCTTTTTTGGAAAAGTAAATATCTGGCTTGAAAATTGGCAAGCAGTAAGGAAAAATTAAAATATCTAATCGGGTAGGCACGTTGGCTCATACCTGTAATCCCAGCACTTTGGGAGGCCGAGGCAGGCAGATCACTTGAGGTCAGGAGTTAGAGACCAGTCTGGCCAACATGGTGAAACACTGCTTCTACTAAAAATACAAAAATTAGCCAGGTATGGTGGTGCACGCCTGTAATCCTAACTACTTGGGAGGCTGAGGCAGGAGAATTGCTTGAACCCAGGAGGCGGAGGTTGCAGTGAGTTGAGATTGTGCCACTGCACTCCAGCCTGGGCAACACAGCAAGAGTGGGTCTCAAAAAAAANAAAAAAAAAAAACCAAAACAAAACAGTCTAATCAACTTTAAAATCAAGTGTTGCTACATATTCTAGTATTTTATGCTAAGTGAGTTTTTTTTTCTGGTTGTCAAAACAGTCCAAACATATTACATAAAATGTAGAAAATATAAACTAGTATGAGAGACGTGTTAAAAGTTACTGGTAAAACTGCCATCCAAATAAAACCACTACTGATTTTTTTTGGTATAATTTCTTCCAGTCCATTGTAATTGTTATTATTGTTGTGGAAGAATAGGCATATTGGGGAGCCAAGAGAAGATTCTGTCTTGTACTAGAGAGGCTGCCATGGAAATGCTAAGAAGTGATCAAATTCAGAATATGTTTTAAGGACAGTGTTGATAGAATTTAGAGATGGACAAAATGAGGAAGGGGGGTGCTAGTGACAGAGGAGGCCAATGCTGATTCGCAGGATTTTGCCTTGATCCCCACCTGTGTGTATGGTTGTGTGTATGTACAACTGACTCTTGAGCAACTCAGCTGAATTGAAAATCTGCATATAACTTTTTACTCCCCCAGAACTTAACTACTGTTAGCCTACCATTGACCAGAAGCCTTACTAATAACAAAGCCAATTAACACATATTTTAATATAAAATAACACATATTTTATATGTATGATATACTGTACTATTATAATAAAGTAATTTAGAGAAAAGAGGTTATTAAGATGTTCATAAGGAAGAGAAAGTATGTCTATTAAGTGGAAGTGGATCATCTTGAAGGTCTTCATCCTCTATGTCTTCATGTGGAGGAGGAAGAGGAGGAGCTGGCTTTGGTGCCTCCGGGGTAGCAGAGGGGAGGCAGAAGAGGCAGGCACAATCAGTGTAACTTTATGCTTTTTTGTAAAGTATAATTTTATAAAAAGTAACCTTTTTACTTTCTTAATTTCTCTAAACATGTTTTTTTAATTTTTAATTTTTTAAAATTTTTTAACTTATTTAACTTTAGGTGCATACTATATCTGGCATTTCTCCCTATGTTATCCCTCCCCACCCTCCTCTCCCTCCCCAGTCCCCGCTGTCTCTCCCCTACACACCCTAAAAATGTTTTTTATGGGACCAATCCTCCTTCAACCATTTGCTATAGTTCAGTACCTGTATCATAGAAGGGTCCATGTTGTAAAAGAAGTCAGAAGCACCCTTGAATAATCAGAACCTTTCTGCCAAATTGTGTAATGTCAGTGTGTTTTCTTGTACTGCTGCTTCTGCATCTTCTTCATCATCTGACAGTGGTTTAGAAAAACTTTTCTCTATTAAGTTGTCCCTAATGTCCTCAGGATCCATCTATTTCCTTGTTTTGTCAATTCCAAAATATTTAACTTGAGACAATTGTCCAAGGCTTGCTGGAATTTCAATATGGCAAACCAGTGAGAGGTGATGTTAGTTCAGAATAGAGGAGTCTCAGTTTCAGTCCTCTAAACTGGTAAGATATGCCTCGTACCAGGCTGGTGTTGCCTTTAAAACTAGAATTGAAAGCAGTAGACACATGCCGAGAGGAGCATTTGTCTTGGGGGCAGAAAGGGCCCTGTCCCTCAGGAATGAAAAACTTACCGAGAGCTAGATGGAAGGACTAGATCCCAGCTGGGAGCCAAATATAATGAAAAAACTTGATTTTTTTTTTTTTTTTGAGGTACATTTAAAAGGATAAATTGCGTTTGTAACTATCTGGACAGGGCTTTGGGTTAGAGCATAAGGAACCCAAGGCAGAGTTTGTTGGGGAAGGCTGCACCTTTATGGGCAGTTGGGTTAGTGGCCCATCACCAGGATTTAGGCAGCCAGACTGTTTCTTGGCCTTGTGGATAAAGAAGCAGCTCTTTACTAGGCTGCCGGAATTTGCTCAGAAAGTATATGAAGCTGAGCAGCAGGGTGAAGTCCATTAATCCATGGCGGGAGGGAGTGAGGAAGGCTTTGATTAAAATGGAAAGCTTGGGTTCATTGAGTTTCTCACCTATGGGGCAACGAGAGCTAGAGGGGAGGCAGTAAGGTAAAAATACTAGATAGAACCTCTTCCTTAAACTTGTGGCTTAGTTACAAAGATGACCACATTGTGAAACCATTGCTAACCGTATGTGATACTGTTCCTATATGTATCAGAGATGTGATAATTAGTGTCTGATGTGCCCAGGGGCTGGAGGACAGTTTTAGTGGTTCATGGCTTCAATGACAGTGTTTAAATTGTATTTTCCCATTGCCGACAATCTAAGAAATTTCTTTTTTATCAGTTAGAATTATGAGCCTTCCCATTTGTGGTAATAGTTTGTAACTCAAAGACATTTTCATAGGCTAAAACTTTAGTCCTTAAGTTAACATTGTTCAAACTAGGGTTCAAAACACATTTTCTTAAAAATTTTAATCATGGAAGATAGAATCCTGATCTCTGCCTGGAAAAGTAGTGGTCCTGATAGGTGTTTCTGCTGGAAGAGAGGATTTGCAAGGAAGAGCATAGTGCATTTGGGGTACTAGAAAATTTGAAGGCTGTAACAGTTTCAGGTTTTTAAATATACCATCCTGACCATGTGTCAGTAATTTGTGGAATACCTTTTTCTTTGTTATTACCTGCCTCTGATGACTAAAGGAGCTTTAACTCTTCTTGTTGAGAAGGTAAATCCCAGAGCCCTCACTTAAAGAACCATCTTCCAACCCTCATGTTATTGAACAGTGTCTAACATAAACTTTTCTTTCTCCTCCCAAATGTGAATTTTGTTTTCTTAGGACTTTATTTCTGAACAGTTAATGTTTCTAGCAGAGACATCTATAGGAAGGTCCATTGCATTATGCCTTTGAGCATTAGCTAGTCACTAGGGAAGCCCGTGTTTTGCTACGAGCCAGAACATTAAGGAGAAATTGTCTTTTTTATGTACCAGCCTAATCCTGCACCTTTACTTGGTTAGGGATTTGTTCCTTCAAATGTCATTGCTGTCCTTTTAAGATGTTTTTCTTTTGTACGTAGGATATCCTGGAAGGTATCTTCTGGATATCCCAACCTCTGGAATATCTTATGTACAAAAGAAAAATAACTTAAAAGGACAGCAAGAAACAGGTCTTTATTCTTCTTCAATTTGCTGTACAGTTTTAACAGATTTACAAGTAAAACTGAGTTTGTGCTTGTTAGTTGCATTAGGTCAGACTGAAAGATTATTTGTTGAGATGTAGGCCTAACAAGGAACTGTTCTTTTAAAATCTTTTTTAAGGCAAAATGTTCTCCTTTATTTCTTTACAGATTCCAGCAAGATTATGGAAGAGCATAGCCAAAAGCAGCTAGATTTACAAAATGGGAGCTTAAAAGAAGACTCTGTGGTGCATTCGATTGAGAACGATTTCCAAAACATGATGGAGAGCCTTAGCCCAAAGAAATACTCTTCCAGTCTGAGATTTAAGGCCAATGGAGACTATTCTGGCTCCTATTTAACCCTCTCACAACCTGTGCCTGCAAAGAGAAGCCCTTCTCCTTTGGGAACCAGTGTCAGAAGCAGCTCCTCCTTAGCTAAAATCCAGGGAAGCAAGCAGTTATCTTATGATGGAACTGATAAAAATATTTCCATGAAACCTCCAACTCCTTTACTCAGCACTACATCCTGCCTCAGTGGATATCCACCTGGAAGAGCAGACTTTGATCATTATACTGGCCGGGACAGTGAAAGGGCCTTGAGGCTCTCAGAGAAGCCTCCCTATTCCAAATACAGCTCAAGGAATAAATCACATGACAATGTCTACTTTCTTGGAGGCCTGGAAGGTCGGAAGGCATCTGGCTCACTCCTAGCCATGTGGAATGGAAGCTCCCTGAGTGATGCTGGCCCCCCTCCTATCAGCAGATCGGGAGCTGCAAGCATGCCTTCAAGCCCAAAGCAAGCCAGGAAAATGAGCATTCAGGACAGCCTGACGCTTCAACCCAAGTTAAGTAGACACAAGGAGCTTGCATCTGAAAACATCAATTTGAGAACTAGGAAGTATTCCGGCAGCAGCCTGAGTCACATGGGAGCCTACAGCCGATCACTTCCCAGGTTGTACAAAGCCACAGAGAACCAGCTGACACCCCTCAGCTTGCCTCCAAGAAACTCTCTGGGCAATTCCAAACGAACAAAACTTGGGGAAAAGGATCTACCTCATAGCATAATAGACAACGACAATTACCTTAATTTTTCTTCTTTGAGCTCAGGGGCTTTACCCTATAAAACCTCTGCTTCTGAAGGCAATCCTTATGTAAGTTCTACCCTCAGTGTCCCTGCCAGCCCTCGAGTGGCTCGGAAGATGCTTCTGGCCTCCACCTCCTCCTGCGTCTCTGATGACTTTGATCGGGCTTCATACGTGGGAACAAACTCGAGTCATTCGCTTTTTGCTGGAGAATCAGACAGAGTATTTGCGACCAGGCGGAACTTCTCTTGTGGATCTGTGGAGTCTGATGAGGCTGATTTGGAAAGCCTCAGACAGGCCTTAGGAACCCCTCAGCCTGTCCTTCGGGAACGGAAAAGCAGCATTAGCTCTATTTCGGGACGTGAGGACCTGATGGATTATCACCGGCGGCAGAGGGAGGAAAGACTCAGGGAGCAGGAGATGGAGCGATTGGTAATGTTAACCTCAACAGTGATTGACCTCACTGTTTCATTAACCAGTATCTACAGGGCAGCCTTGTAGACTGAATCCAGGATATGTGGGAATATAGGATTTTCATGTTCACTGGTCACAGCTGCTATCTTTCTCTTCTCTCCTGCTCTCCTTCTTCTTCCCGAATTACTATTCATAGGCATGACTGGCTATCTTGAAGGCCTACAGGAGTTAATTTAGTTGATCTGCGGACTTCTCACAAGTATAAATTCTTGAAAAACGTAACAAAGGAGTTGAGAATTTTATGAAATTTCTGAATCTTACAAACTTCTCTTTAAGACTATGAGGAAATGCTGACTTTTATTATAGCATTAAATTTGCTTGTATATGGTTATGAGAGTAGTCAGTGAAATCATGACTCACCGAGAATTAGGTAGTAAATTTGTCTTTATAGCAAGTTGTCTAGAAAGTTGGAGTTGCCTCAGTGGTGCTCAGGTTTTTCCACACTGCTCATACACACCCTTACTGTCTTCAGCTCTGACTCTTAGCATGTACAGTGACTCCAAACTATGCATACTCACAAGATCTATTGAGTTGTCTTTTTCCATTTAAAATGAATTTTTACTTATTGTCGAAATACTGAAAATAAGAAGACAGGAGGAAACATCCCTTGAGAGTCTCACTAATGAATGAGAACAAACAACTGCATTTTCCCATTCTCTTTTAAGCACAAGTATTTCTCTTTCAGAATGACTACCTGTCACAGATTACTTTGATTCATTTTCGTTTCATGATTTCCTTAATGAGAGAAGCTGCAGGGTAGTAAAGCTGACAACACTATAGGATTATCAGAAGTATTTTAGTTACTGAAATATACTTGAATATGATTTTTGAATCACATCCAAAACTAGTTAATACCCTGTAGGACAATAAAATTGTAACCCAGGCTTGTCTAACTTGGGGCCTGTGGGCCGTGTGTGTGGCCTATGACGGCTTCAAATGCCGCCCAATACAAACTTAAGCTTTCTTAAAACATTATGAAATGTTTTTTGCCTTTGTTTTTGCTCATTAGCTATCTTAGTGTATTTCATGTGTGGCCCAAGATTGGACATCCCTGTTGTAATCTTTGGATTACAATGGACAGAAACCATTTGTATCCATCCAGAAGGAAATACGTTTGACATTTTAGAGCAGGAATCATTTGCATCGATCATAGTTTTTGTAAGTTGATGTCTGTTCTTACACAGTTTTCAAATATCCTGACAATAGCGAATGAAAATAAATGTGCATACCCTTAGAGAAGTTAGATAGTCCTTGGGTGGGTCAGTTATACAGTATTCAGTATGACATTTCTCTTTATTATCATAAATAATCTCTATGTGTGGACTAAAATGGGATTGTGTTTGGGCTTGCTTCTTTGACAGAAATTCAGAAGACTTAATTAGCATACAAAACCATGCCAAGCAACTATTATTTATGAAGCTAGATAATTAACTTCTATCTGATAACTTATCAAGGCACCTGGGAGAGCATTTTTAATGGCTTCCATGACTCCAGACATCTGTTTCCTCTTATGTCTATCAAGGATAGACAACCAAACTCAAGAAATTCTTCTCCGCTAGGTTTCATCTTCAACATCTGTTAAGTCTTGGAGAATTTCTCTTTCCTCTAGATTTTCCAAATCTGGTACGGATCTTGGCAATCCAGGAAGTGACCTTCTGTACTGCCTGTAAGGTTGAGCTCGTCAAGTCATAAACAGTTTTCACTTCTTGAAAGAGCTTTGTGGATATTGCCCTAAATATGAAGTTATGTATTTTTCTTTAATCGTGGTCTTGTCATATCTGTTGAAATGAGGCTTATTTTTAAATTTGACACTCTAGACTTGATCTTGGTTGCGTAGTCTATTTGTTTGACTACATTGCGGTGAAAGGGATGACGGATTCTTATCCAGCCTGTGCAAATGAAAATATTGCCATTAAAAAGTAAAGTGGCTCAAAAAAATTACCTCCTGCATCCTGAGAGATCAGTGAGAACAAGTTACCATGAAAATAATATTTCATTTCGTTTGCAAAAATCAGAGTTAGCTGAATGGAGGCTTAGAGATAGAGTGGTACGAATCCGAAGGGTTTTCCCCTGAAAAAATAGATGATTAAAAATAATACTAATAATATTCCAAAACACATATCCACATTTAGAAATTCAATTTTTATTATCAGTTCAGTCAGTTCTATGTAATTAATTCCTATTCCTCTGCATCTTGGGCTGTTAATTTGGTTTCATGAAGTCATCTATTTCTGGACTAAAAAGAGTCCTGAAAATCTGATTTAGCTGCCTAGTACTGTCTCATTTTTGTCTGTGCAATTCTTTGAAATATCAGGAGTTAAGAATACCTGGTAAAGTCTTATCCACAAGGTTCTAAAACTGTCATTTCTTCATTAACGAGATACTATATTTTGTAGGCAAGTTCACAGGGAAAGTAGAGAACACTTGGTGAATTTAAGAGTTAAGTGGCTATAGTTAGTTTATGGTTAATTTAACAAACAATATAAGCATGAAGGAGAGTTAAAATCCTTTAAATCAGTTTTGTAAGAACATATTACAGAGAGCGAGGGCACTGACAGATAATCAAGACCTTTCTGTAAAGTACCCAATCTTTGAACCTTATCTATAATATTAAAAATAATATTTTACCTGTACAAAATTATCTTAAGGAAGGGTGACTTTCTCATTTGATTTGAGAAATTTTTAGGGGCACAGTGAACAAAGCTAATTATTTCTAGCCTCTTGCTTTTTGTAAAATTAAGGAACAAATCTTTGTGATTGCCTACAGGTTCTCTGGGAAAACCTAAAAGTAGTTCAGGAATAGGTATCTTAGAAATTGTATTTTTTTTCTTTATTTAGGGCCTGTCTGATTTGAAGGCAAAATCAGAGGAGATTTTGTCACTTGAGTAATACAGAATTGTGTATACGTGAGAGTAGCGAATGTTTGTGGTTTGGCTGTTTAATAAAATGCCAATAGATTATTTTATGATGAGCAAGTAGCCTTAAATTATTCAAAAATGAAGAAAACTCTTTTTGTTATTTTAAATATGCACGAGTATATTTCAGTTAGCGCAAAGCTCAGAAAGTTACTCCTGTAAGATACTAATCTCTGCTCTTTTGGGCAGATTATGTAGAAGAATTACCTTTTACTGCCTTTTGCAAGAATAGGCTGATTTCTCCAAGATGAGTCTGTCATTTCTATAGAGATAACTGCATTTTAGTTTTACATTAACAGGGTGCTTGTCATATATTACGTTTTTTATATGCATTACATTAAACATACTTAATGAGTAATTGCATCAAAATCATGCAAACTTTGCCAAGTTTTTAACATGCTATTATTTCTTTATAGCCGTTTTATTTGCAAGTATTATAAACCAAGTTAAATCAAACTCCCTTTGCGCAAATCTTCAATTTTCTGTTTCCATCAACTTCTGTCCTTCATTATTCTCTTCCACATTCTGGAACAACCAGACACTAAGACAAAAATACTTAAAAGTGTTGGAAATTATGTTCACACTAACACATCACAGAACATAATTACTGATAATGTGAAAAGGTTTGTCACAGTTATAATTCAGTTTAGGTGAGTACAATGTTTATATCTTTTTTAATATTATGGAAATAATATTAGCTTATGTTTTTAGCAAACTAATATAAGACAATTAAAAGTTCAGATAAACCAATAACTTTATCATAAAACAAATTCAAATATTTTTTAAAAATGAAATTATGGTTGTATTATACTGTACACTGATAAAAACAAGGAAAAGATATATAGCTGTTTTGTTGTTGAATTTAAAATGCATTTGTTTTCTTAAAAATTATATTTACCCATGACACAGCCCCAGGAGATCCAGAGAACATGTGTCTCTAAAGCTGTTTTTATAGCCAAATTATGAAATCAGGTCTTTTCTTTTTTTTTAAAGAGAGCAGAGTCAGGCTGGGTGAGGTGGTTTGCACTTGTAATCCCAGCACTTTGGGAGGCCAAGGTAGGAGGATCACTTGAGCCCAGGAATTTGAGACCATCCTGGGCAACATGGCAAAACTCTGTCTCTACAAAAAAATATAAAAATTAGCCAGGTGTGGTGGTGCATGCCTGTACCACCAGCTACCTGGGAGGCTGAAGTGGGAGTGTTGATTGAGCCCAGGAGATTGAGGCTGCAATAAGCCATGATCACACCACTGAACTTCAGGCCAGGTGGCAGAGTGAGACCCTGTCATTAAAAAAAAGAGTACATTTAAAGCATTAGAATTTCACAAAATTTATTTCAAGAAAATAAATTCTTAAAATTCCGGGAATGTTAGATTTATCTGTTTGTTAGTCTATAAACCAATCAGAATAGCAGGCCTCATCTATTTATTTATTATTATCCTCGGGAGGTAGAAAAATATTTCACCTATACACAGTGTTTTCCCTGCTCCTCCTTAGGTAGAGACACAGATGAAAGGCTTATGGCATAAGTCCTGCAGCTCCAATTACTGATCAAAAGTGAACACTGGACCACAAAAATCTCACTTTTCCAGATCTCAAAAGACTGGTTGCTTTTCCATCAGGCACAAAATATATTCCTGATCTGAGTACATAAATAGAAAAACAAACAAATTGTAAACAACAACAAACAAATAGTCTGTCACCTCTCACCTGACCGAGGCTGGATTCCAGTTCTACTTGTCAAATCACCACGTGGTCAGATTGTGAAACCAGATTCCTAGTCATGGCTGCCACCAAGGGAAGTAACTAACAGTTGTATGCAAACCAAAACCCCAGTGAAACCTGGCCAAGGATTAGAAACAAAAACTACAGAGAATAGCTAGTCAGTGCAGGTAATGTTCTGTTGCCATTTGGGATTTACCTCCAAAGCCAAGAAAAGACATGCCTGGGCATCCAGCCCATGAGATGCAGTTCATGGGCAGTACAATTTAATTGACTGTATAGAGTGAGTCACTTGCACATTTTATTAAGGACCTCCAAATTG